ATGATGATGTTATCTTGCTTGTGCTGCTTTGAGGTTGAACAACAAGGTGCTCTATTTATAGGTGTAAAGTAACCAAATTAAGTTTTCTTTTATTTTTTTAAATTTTTTTTAGAATAGTAGACTATGCGCGTGAATATTGCAATCATTAATATTTTTATATTCGATTATATGTTTGTCTTACAACCATGATATGCGCCTATTGCTTTGTATTGAGATAATACTATTTCTCTCATTCTTTTCATCTCGTACTACATAAATTTTGATTAAAAAAAGGTCTTTGTTGTTGAATTCAATTGTAGACTACAATGCATGTAAAGGAATTATTTTCAAAGTTGTTTGTAGCTATTAACTGAGTATGGAAAAAGGATTTCGGCCTCGAGTCATCTTTTCAAATGAAAACTATTCGGAGATCAATTTTATAATTAATTGTTTAACTTAAAAGGGGAAATCAACCTAAACATTCTAATGATATTCTGGATTGGATTGGTGTTTAGCTAAGTCTTAAGTAAGGATATTAGATTGGAAATTATCTTAACAAACAGGTAAAACTACAAACAAAGTCTCCAAGATTAAATAAGATTGAGTAGAAGAAATAAGGCAACAGAACTAGTAATCAAGTAATCGGTCACTAGGCATACGATCACCCGAGCTACTATAAGTCTATAATAACACGCTGCAAATGCAAATAGTTGTATAATAGACTAGCTGAGAAATACCGCTCTAGGAATGTCCCTCATGCACATAATTGGAAACGTTCGTTAAGTCTCAACTTATAAATAATTAAAGCATGCGGTTTGGGTACCATAATAATCCTAATCTAGCTAGCAACCTAATCAAAGGCCAACTAACTCCGTTAACATAAAAAAAGATTTAGACTAACACCTCCATAAAGTAAAAATAAACAATTGACGATGTATTCGACCTTTAAATAAAGTCTGCAAACTACCAATTGGATTCTTAGAGAAAAAAAAATACACACAATAAAGTAATCTTTTTGATGGAGAATCAAAATACCTAAAATAGAGTCTTGAGCTCCAAATTGGAAAAGTAAAGCTAGATTAAGAAAAAAGCTAGGTGCAAAGTAGAAAAATGTGCAAAAGATTGTAATGACCTAATACTAATATTTTCATACCCCAAAGAGTGCATGCACTAAAAACACACAATGTAAATAATAATAATAATAATAATAATAATAATAATAATAATAATAATAATAATAACACTCGTGCGACTCACAAACATTTGTGACTCGCGACAGGTGACAGGTGCGTTGGGATAGAACGGCCAACCAAGTGGCTGCTTGAAAACACATGCATGTTTATAGAATTTTTTTGTTTTGTTTGGAGTTTTTGATTTGGTTTAGTTAATTTTGAAAAAGGTGGTATGATTAGTTGTTAGTGGATATATTAAAATAATATTTATTAGACTATTACTTGTGAGTTGTCCCACATCGTTCATACATAGAAAATAGACCCACTTTATAAGTCTTATGGGCTACTCCTCCTTCCACCAATTGGTTTTGGGATGGAACCTCGCTTGGGCTTTATTTGAGCTTCCCTGATTTGGTGTGCTTCGTCTGTGGGACCACACCCGTCAACCCCCGTTTGTCATGGTATCAGAGCCGATTCACCTAGCCCAGTTGGGCTTGGGCCTACGTGGGATCGTGCATGACGTACCCGTCACCCAGCCCAGTTGGGCTTGGGCTTTCGAAGTACTCACAAGTGAGGGGATGTCACCCAGCCCAGTTGGGCTTGGGCTTTCGAAGTACTCACAAGTGAGGAGATGTTAGAATATACACTTGTGAGTTGTCCCACATCGTCTAAGGTGGAAAAATAGACCCACCTTATAAGATTAATGGGTTACTCCTCCTTCCACCAATTAGTTTGGGTTACTCCTCCTTCCACCAATTAGTTTTGGGATGGAACCCCACTTGTACTTCATATGGGCTTTCCTCCGTCCCCACTTGGCTTCCACCAATTAGTTTTGGGATGGAACCCCACTTGTACTTCATATGGGCTTTCCTCCGTCCCCACTTGGACTTCATATGGGCTTTCCTCCGTTGATGGTGCGCTTCATGATAGTGAGCCATCACCCATTTTTCCCCCAGTTTCTATTTATATTTATAATAAAATAATTAAAATTGATTTGATGTAAAAGTAGGAGAGAGAGATTTGAAGTGATGGTTAGTTAAAATAATATGAGTGGATGAATAGTGAATTAAAGTTGATGTGGAGTGTATGAATGATTGATTGATATTATTTAATTATATTAATAATTTTGATGATAGTAGGGTTGACTTAAAGTTGAGTTAAATTGTTGAAATTTTTTTGAAAATTTTCTCTAAAAATAAGCAATACTCTATGAGACTATGAGTAACAAACTACCGAAGAAATGTTTCATATTTCAAAAAAATATTTGAATTTTTCATTTTATTCCGTAGGATAATTGACATATTTATAAATTCCGTTAAGGTTATGCACAATTTAGAGTGAATTATTTCATAGTTTATTAAAAAAAAACGCAATAAAAAAGAAAAAAAAATATTCTTAGATTCAAGAAACTCAGTTGTAGAATCTCCTTTGCAAATATTGGTTAGACAAAGAGAATAAGAATATTATCATGTAATCGTCATAAGGAAGAATTATAAATTGAATTCTATCAAAAGTGGAAATTAAAAGTCATTTTTACAAATGTTGTTATTAGGTTGTTCAAGTTTTCGTTTTCAAATATATGTAATTATATTTTTATTTACATTATGTGTTATAGGAAATTGTGATTGTATGAATGTTTTTACATGTATCTCATTATGAAAGGTTTTATTTGTTATTTTGAAATATATGATGATATTTTTTTTCTTTTTTGGATATACTAGTACAAAATATCCTATATTACACCAGTGCTAAGTTAAAAAAATTATACTTAAATTTATTTTAAATAAAGATAACTAAGTTTTTGTTAAAATATTAAAATACTTTTTAAAATTAATTATTATTTTTAGTTAAAACGATACTCCTCATTTGTACGACTTACCGTCTTATATTATAATAAATTCTAACTCATATCATATTAATAATTTTATATATAATTTTTAAATTGATGAATAAATTTATTATTTTTCAATTAATATTAATTAATAACTTAGTTTTATTATAAAGATAAAATAAATTTATTTATTTTGTATATGCAACTCTAAATCCATATAGACAACTCTGAAGCAACAGAAATTGAGACATAGAAAATAAGAAGCATTATACTTCGTCACAAAGATGATGAAGCACCCAAAGTTGACACATTTCCTCCAAAAAATGTGCATTATATATAAAGAGTCAAATATTTTGTAATATAAAAAATATATAGAATTCCAAATCCACATGCACTGCTCTGAAGAAACATAACATATAGAAGGACGAAACTCCAGAATCCACATATTTTAAGTGCTTGTCGTGTCCGTAGTTTCTTGAGTTTGTGTTTTGGTTTCTACCGTTGCTAGTGTCGGTTCTAGACAAATTTCAGATCCGGCCTCCCAGTTTATTCAGCTTTTGGTTGCACTATTCAGTTAGGAGTTGTATCTTTGCACATTTGTGCGGTTTTATCTATAAAAGTCTCTATNCATCGATATATTTAAAATAAGATAAAAATAACATTTCATATATTACAACAAAATTGCTTTTTTTTTTTCATAAATAAGTTAGAGTTGATAAATTATATAGAAACATAGTATCAACTCTCTACGAAATAAAATTATTAATTTTATAGAAACCATCTCTACTCAGTATAAAAAATAACGAAAAAAATTATTTTATTGACTTTTGCGACGGAGCTAACCTCAGTGAGAATCTATAAATTTACTAAATTTGGGATTGGACTAATAAGGCCATCAACCTTGAATAATGCAAAATAAATTAAATAGAACCTTATCATTATGCCCTAAGACTCGTTGTGCCATAAACAACAATGGAATGTTGAATTGCAGATCCAATTATTGTTATGTTTACTTAATACACTCTCCATTTTAATAACTTTTCTGTTAAATTTTGTATTTATAATTATTTATCGTTGTATACTATAATTATTTACACGGGTGTTTGTTAACACATTTATATTTAAAGTTAAAAATAATAATAATAATAAATTATTTTAATTTTTAAATACTTTTTTGAATAACTTTTACTATTTATATTTAAAATAACACATCACTTATGCGGCTTATCATCATTTTTTTTATTATTATTATTTTTATTTTTTCTTACGAAACGATAGAGAATATTATAAATCAAAACGCACAAATATGCAAAGTTACAACTCATGGTTGAATGAAATCAACCAAAAGCTGAATAAAATGGGAGAACAGGTCGGACGACCGCCTAGAAACCGGACCCTAGCAACGCTAGAAAACAAAAGTGAACTCACTAAACAACTAACACAAAACACACAAAGAAAAAACTACAGCATTCCCAACAGGAGAATAGAGGGGAGTGGATCCTAACAGGATAATAAGTTTGCTCCCGCTCCGATTGACAGAGGCCAACTGGCCCAAACCAAAAACACTAATTCCTAAACAACACAAGCACAAACATAACAAAACAAACTAAAACAAAAAAAACCTAATCAACCAACAAACAAACAAGCCCTTCCGCGGCAGAAAATTCGAGTCCAACCGGCAGTGATACAATCGATTTCAGGGAGAGCTCTCAGGCTCAGTAACCGCAACAGAAACTGCCAAACCGCCTAGCTGAAGCTGAAACCGAGCTCAGAACCAAACCCCAAAAGGATCCATCCCCCACCGTGGAAAGCCACCACCACTCTACCGGCTAACACCACTAGCCGAGACCAGCACCGCCCCACCCGCCTAACACCACTAGTCGAGTACAGCCGTGCCGGCTCCCCAAAACCCAACGAAGGAGAACCGGGGAGAGAAAGGCAAGCCAGCCCCCCACTCAGACCACCCCGACGCGAGCGCCACGGCTGTCTGAACCTCGCCCCCTGCTCCAACCTAGTACCTCAGCCAGCAGCGGAGCCTTTCCGGGAAGAATCAGGAAGCCGGCGACCGGAAACCTCCCGATCTTACTTCGAGAAGGGAAATCTGAACGAATCCCAGCAGCAACCATCACGAACGAAGAGGGGAGGACCACCGGAGCAGCCACCGTCG